ATTAAATTAAAGTTTGCGAAAAATTTATTGTGATTTTTATTAAATAAATTCGATAAATCCTTTAAAATAAAGTGGGGCGTTACAGTTTTTTTTTTTCTACAACATAGAAAGAGTATATGGCGGTTACTGAAGCTATGAAGGAGGCAATTTGGCTTCAAGTTTTTACTTGAAGACTTGGGAGTTGATCAAAAGCATGTCTTAGTGCATTGTGATAGCTAGATCGCTATTCACTTAGTAAAAAATCAAGTATTTCATGCAAGAATGAAAACGTTGATGTTCGCTATCACTTTGTGTGGGAGATTCTAGAACATGAAAACGTTTTGTTGAAGAAGATCTTGACGTCGGAGAATCTTGCAGATATGGTGACCAAGGTAGTGACAACATTCAAGTTTGAACATTGTTTAGACTTGACAAACTCTGCATATTTGAGTTAGCATCGAGGGGCGCATTTGGAGGCACCGCTAGCAGCTGGATTGAAGAGTTAAAGTGAGAGCAAAATTAATCAAGGTGGAGAACTGTTAAATTTTTTATTATATATTTGTCTCACGTCAGATGTGTACCAAAAATGTGTAAGATCATTTTATTATAAATATGTCCCTTGTCTTTAGGGTTACCTTTGCTCCTTATTCTATTATCTCATATCTTAAAAGAAAATATTTAATTAAAAAAATTCTAATTTGTTGAATTATTTAACCCTAATTGTATTTTGTCCGTGAGTTTAGTTAATTTGGCGTTGCAGTTGACAGTGTCCGGAGACGTAGAGACTAGGCCAAACTCAGTTATCAATTTTGTGTGTACTTTTTCTTTCTGGTCTTTTATTTATTTGTGTTGTCTTATTTTCTTTAGTAGTAGTGTTTGTAATTATTTATTATAGAAGTTTTTTTGTCAGTTGCGCTTATTGCGATACCTCAACAAACAAATCAAATATACAAATGTGCTGACGCTTGGTGGCTTAATTGTATCAATATTAATGAGTCGACTTTGAGTCATTGCAAGTCCAACTCGAGTCGAACTATAAATTACACAAGTCTACATTTTTGAACCTTAACGAAGCTTGCTCGCGAGATGTCCCTTTGCTAACTACATAAATCCCTACCGTGCCTCTGTCATACAATATGGACAACTTGCATTTTAACATCATGTTCAAACTCTTGGATTCATATTATCTCCAGCTTCAGCCATGCGGACAACTCACACCTATCCATGCGGTCATTGATTATATAAACACATAATACTCATACTATTCACGAAACAGTGCTAATTATTTATGCACAAAGCAATGCTTATAGCCAGTTCATGTTATTCAGAAAGTATAACAACATTCAAGTAAGTCACTAAATAAGGTTAAATCAACTCATCCCAAACCGCAACACCACTTGTCACAAATGGACCAATACCGAAACAAACCAATCAATCAATCCTCGAAATTCCTGGCCATCTCCCTAAGCAAAAACTTCTGCAGTTTCCCTGTAGAAGTCTTGGGCAGCTCGTCCTTGAACACCACTTTCCTCGGCACCATATACCTCGGCAGCCTCTCCTTGCAATAATCCCTTATATCCTTCTCGGTCGGCTTTTCCCCCACCCCTTTCAGGCTAACGAACGCGCACGGCGTCTCCCCCCAATACGCGCACGGCCGCGCCACCACCGCCGCCTCGTTCACCGCCGGGTGTCCGTACAACACCGCCTCAACCTCCACGCTGCTCATATTCTCCCCACCACATATAATCACGTCCTTCGACCTGTCCTTCACCTCCAAATACCCGTCCTCGTGCACCACCCCCACGTCCCCCGTGTACAACCACCCCCCCTTCATGCACCCGCTCGTTCCCTCCGAATCCTTGAAGTACCCGAGCATCACGCTCCCTCCCTTCAACAC